ATGCAAGTTGAAGAAATATTTGTTTGGGAATAAAACGAAAGAAAGCGTCACGCTCGATTGCGCCAATTTCGCTACTCGAGGACTATTACTAATAGTCTTTTACTAGCGTAGCCAATTAAAATGCAGGATTTGCATTAGTCCGCTAGTTGGGTGATACTAAACTAAGGTATCCTATCATTGGGTAAGAGTTAATGCGAATTTTGATCTTACCAGGTCGTCATAAATTATTATCTGTACTTGAAGGCTAAGGCGTAAAAGAACTTGTTTAGCAAACGAGCTGTTCCAGATGGAGGAAGTAAATGTGGATTTTGCTCCACCTGAAACCAATCGAGCTGCGCATGCCCCTATCACCAAGACGTCTGCGCCAGAGAGCTGCAACGACTGATTTAGAAATTTACTTGAACAGAGCCGAGCTCAGTTGTTTCATGCAGTTTCGCAAGATAAGGATATGCTATTGCCTGAGAGCTAATATCGGCATAAATATTTGAGTTCTCAACGACAAAGGTACGACAGACGAGCTGGGCCTCATATCAGGACGACTCTCGTCTGACTTTAAAGATGATTTCTAGTCTGTACTGCGCACTCCCGAGGATTTGTTTGTGTTTTTTGTTTTGTTTTATGTAAGACATCACAAAATCGATGTAAACATTTCGCGGCAACTACTTACAAGAAGTAAATTCAAAGTTTCAAAACAACCGCCGTTATGGATGCGAGGCGGTCGAAGTGTCATGCTTCGTTCTTTCTCATATCACTTGATGAAACAACTTCGCAGTTGCAAAAATCAATGAAGCTGTTGGAAAAAGAATTTGAAGGGCGTCAAAGATGAGGTATGCGGTTCGTAATGAATAACATCGATTCGCATTCCGTCGAGTGAGATTTATAACGTTTATAAACATTAGGGTGCTGAGACCGCCCAGTATGGACTGGAAATCATCTTTAAGAAACGAATTTCCTCTCGCATGTTCGTTGTTTTTTGTTGTTGTTGTTGTTTGTTTGTTTGTTTGTTTTTTCATTCTCCAGTGATTGAAAGGATCAAAACAAGCTCCACACGTCTTCCCGTTACTGAAATATCCACAACATATAGACTCTGAAAAGTGTGACTGGTATCAATCCTCCAATCCAAATGCTTTGCCTTACTTGTTCGCTGAACCAACCGACCGGCCGGTTCAGTTGTTTGTTGTCCTGTTTGTGTTTACGCGTTATCATATTAAGGTCATACAAAAAGCGCTTAATGCTCAGCAGTATTGAACAAGTGCAATCCCTTCCTTACCTGTAAACTCTAAACAACTGGGTCAGGACAAAGTTAATAGCCTGGCTGACCCAGTTGGTGGCCATCTCGGTTAACTTTAGAAAGCCAACAGCAACATCCAGTAGGTTACACAGACCTTTGCCGATATGTTCAACGAACTTGCACGATCCCTCGCAAAGACTAGCCACAGCTGGTAACAAAAATTAGTTCCATGAGTTATATAGCTTAGGTAAAGTCGGTGTCGGACCGATTGCCGGTCCATACCATCCTGAACAGCTTATCCGGTTTCTGTAGCATGAAGAGACTACAAGTATTTTCACTCTAACCGCCGCTCCCCCCCCCCCCCCCCCCCCCCCACCCTCTCCCCACCTCCCAGCATGAAATTTACCAGTACCCACTTATACACCTGGGGTAATGTGGGAGTTAAGATTCTTGCTCAGGAACATAGCGCAGAGAGCCCGGCCAGGCTCGTATTCCGAAAGGTATATGTATAGAAGGAATGAATGCCAAGTAAGCAGCCTTCAGAATCAAGGGTTAATTACTAAACAGCTTCCTGTAAATGCAGCGTAATGTGCGCCTAAATATCAGCGAATGCTCCCATTGCATTAATTCCAAGCAACATACTGACCGTCGCACCCTCCTCCCACAAGACCCTCGCATATAATTTTGCTGATAAATCGACGTCGACGAATATGAAGTGCAAAGTTCTCATTGCGCATGTCTTGAAGTTCTCGTCTCTTTCTCCAGCCCTTGAAAAATTTCTTGATCGCTTTGCCAACCTGTTAAAAATAATACAAGAATTCAACATTTACTTTCCCATTTATCTGAGACAGATCGCAGGGAGGGGAGGTTTCGAAATGGCGACAGATATGCTTGTGGTAGTATTTAGCTGGTGTTGAAAGTCTTGTTATATGTTACCACGAAGAGTGTTTCATTTTCCATTTACACAGTTGCTTCACAATAATCTAGAGATAAACAAGAACATTTTACAGGGGCGTGGCTTTTGGTCGTTGAGTGTCACTTGTCCCTAAGCCATGCCCCAAGGGAAGCATTTCGTTTCCTGAAAGGGTTTTTTTTTTTTTTTTTTTTCAAGCCTGTCTAAAACCATATTTCCTTACCGGAGCCAAAGCTTTGCCGATCTTTTTTACAGTCCCCGTGATCCATTGTCCTAAAGAAATTCAGTAACGAAAACGTCAAATGGAGCAGAATATTCCAAAAGCCTGGTTTCTATACGATCAATTCGATCACCACGATCGCTCCAGAAAAAGCTGAGCAATCAATTAAGACTACCAGCTTTTCATACGGTCGCATGATAATTGCTTTAGACTGATAAGAAAATACCTAATTTCTAGAACCTTGATCAAGCAAGGACGCGCTGTTTTCTGGTCTCTTCAAAGTTGTTTCCAAATGATTGCAACGGTCTTTGAGATGAAACTGAAGTCTATTTAAGTGATCGTTATTGTAATGAACGCTGAAGAGTTGTTTCCATAGCAACGCAACGATGTCGCTGAACTTTTTTTCAGCGAAGGTAGTAATCATCCGGGCAACCATCTGGAACCCTGCCTGGTAGAAATACTTTAAACTTTGCTCAATGGAACGTTAACAGAACTCAGTGTAACAGTTTCCTTGTTATTCACTTTTCATCATTCTAGCAAAATCTTATTTAGTGATATTCATTTGCAATTTGTTAGATTTTATATGCTATATTTTAAAATAATCTCTAACAACCCTTACCAACAGAATTGACTACGCCTCCAATCCATTTGCCAGCCTTGTCCAAGAATCCTTTACAATTTCGTTCCGCTTGAGCACATTTAAGTTTTCTACAGTTATCACATTTGAGTGACATCTTTCTCTTACAGTTTTCCTTTTCCCTGATGACGGCCTCTCTTGCATCAGCAAGCTTCTTTTGCGCCTCATCAAAAGCACCTTTTACAGCCTTGGCTGCAGCGTCTAAAGCCTTGGAAAGAGTGATTAGCAAGTTGAGGAAATTATTTTTTTATATATGTCTTGCGTCATAGCTAATAAACAGCTAACAAAAACATACAACAAAGAACTTTGTCAGGTTTAAGTATATATATGTATGTAGCTGATTGTTTCAGGGAGTTTGATTGGTTGGTTGGTTGGTGCACAACTCTTCCGCACCTCGTGACCTTTCTCGTTCCGTGTGTAGGAAAAAAAAAGTGTTTTAAAAAGATGTTGTCGTGTACTCAAATTTAAGGTACAAAATTACATTCTCTTCGCGGTTTTGTGCTGTACTAAACTATTATTTCAGCCTTAGCAGTAAGCTATTGTTTCAAGCCTATTAGCTTATTATCGATGTGTTAAGTTGCATCATATTTGAAAAATTGACGCTTCGTTCGTGATCCTTTTTCTCAAAGCAACTTGATTAAAGACTAACTTGGATGAAATTTTCGAAGGCTTATTCGAGTTCAGTGTAATACTCTCTGGCCTTAACAATAAGGAAAAGAGAGGCATCCATTTTATGGTCAATTGACACCTGTCAAAACAAGGTCTCCGCTGACCAGGATCACGTGACTATACTGCGAGCTCAAGTTTTGAGGTTATCGAGGTCACGTGTTCTTTTTTAGTTAACCCCTGACCAAGTACCTTAACTTAGTGTAATCAGGGGCCCGTTTCTCGAAAGCCCCGGAAACTTTTCGGGCCCGAAAAGCCATAGCAAAATTTCGAACCGTACGATTACAGAGCTGTTTTATTCACATATTCTTAACATGAGCAGAAGTGCCCTTCATACAAGAAGTTTCAGGCGTATACACTTCTCCGTTTTTAGATACAGATGAACTAAAAATGGCTTTACAGGCCCGAAAAGTTTCCGGGGCTTTCGAGAAACGGGCCCCAGGGCCGGGTTTTTCGGAACAGGGGCCCGTTTCTCGAAAGCCCCGGCAACTTTTCGGGCCCGCAAAGGCATGTTTTGTTAATTGGTATTTAAAGACAGAGGGGTGTATACGGCTGAAACTTCTTGAATGAAGAGAAACTCTGCTCATATTAAGAATGTGTGCATAAAAGAGCTCTGAAGTCATAAGGTTTAAGATTTTGCTTCTGTTTTTTGGGTGCGAAAACTTTTCGGGACCTTCGAGAAACGGGCCCCTGAGCCGGTTAACGCTAACCCAGGATTAGATATAAGGATTTGATATTATTCAAACTCTTAAGGCCAAACAATATAAGCAGAAAACCTCCCCGTCGAGTTAAAAAAAAACCCTAAATCAAAACTCTCAGTTAACCTGGGTTAGCTTAATCAGGTTTTAAACGAGCTCCGCTTTTAGGCTTGGCAAAATCTATATATTAAGCCTAGTGCGCGTTATTTAAGCTATTTTATATGTCGTTTGTTTATGTCGTTATGATTCTAGTTTAAACTAGGCTTTATATTAAATTTCTTACGTCGTTTATTCCGCTCAAGTCCACTGTAACTCTGACGTAAAACTGTGCGCCTATGAAGGTCGTGCTGTAACTTGCTGAAACAAACAACTCAGCCCTTATGAGTTCCAGGAAGTTCCCTTGGATTAGCAACTCCATTTGAGTCATTGTCAGATTCAATCGGCAGTATGTGGAGATTCCAAGCAGATTTGTATACCCCTCAATATACGCCTGTGTGAAAAAAAGAGCTCGATACAGTCACATTGTTAACTTTGTTAAGCAATCAGATTAAAACAGTTTCATATCATACGACTTATATAATCACTGTTTTACGTAACAGGCACGTAGGGAATAAGATAAGTCACCTCGATGAAGATTGGGGTCTGTCTGGCATCGACATAGAACCAAGGTCCCAGGTCTTTCTCTGTCGGGCTACGGACAATCTCTGCAATGTCTAAAATCTTAACTGGATCCGGCTTCAAGTCCACGAAAATTGCCTGGAAAAAAATATCCCTGTATTACGAGACAGGCTAATCAACAGCTGCTGTGGCTAATTATATATCAAGCTATTTGTTTCCAGGTTTCAGAAGCGAAGGTACGATAGTGGCTGGTGAGGGCATCACTGATGGGAAAGGCGGGGATGCTCGTGCAGATTTGGGTGTCACCTAGTGTTTTCAGCCGCCCTATTGTTTGCACCCATCAAGGAATACGTATCTGTTGGGGTTGTAGGGGAAGCAATATAAAAGCCGTCATATACTGCATTGGTGACTTAACTAGCGACCGGGTACCTAAGGAGAGACTGGGCACCAGTAGGTTAAATCACGTTTTTCTCAAAATCTACCCGTATGACTACACCTCAACATTCATGCAAAGTAGGATAAAAATCTGTAAGACAGATTTTGCGAAGAAATCTGTCTTATAGAGAAAGGGAAAGAATCTTGGAACATGTTTCAAAAGAGTTGGAAGTTGGGTTGTTATAATCCATCAAAACTGTAGTAAGCCACCTTAAGTCAGTAGTTTTTCTAACCTCATCTGATAACTTGACATGCGCGTAGATCTCCCATCCCAGAATATTGACTGTTCCTTTGATCATGAAGCCCTTGTAGATGTAGGGGCCACCAGCGATACGTAAATCAAAGGCATCTTCAGCGTATGAGCCCTGCAATAACATGGACATCAACCTGATTTAATATAAAGTACATCCTTCGTACATGTAAGCCTTTATGGCTATTTAAGAAAGGTCATCGTTATTATATAATAGCTCCATACACCATAATAAATTGTTAAATATACTCAACTGTTATTTTTTTCCTCGAGACTTCTAAATAACTTAACCTTTTTTTTTTTGTTTTGCTTCTTTTTTTATCTGAGGAGTCAGAGTATCAGGACGACGATATTTTCAAGTGCGCTTTTTCAATGTAATTCATTTACAGTCAACACTGATTAAGGGTATATATAAGTAAAAAAGGAGGGCGGGAGTTTTGTTCGACAAGTGCCGCAACACTTACCGCAGCGCCTTCTGGGAAGCCCGTCTGTGCTATTGGAGGCGGAAGTGGGAAAGTGAATCCCAGAAGTCGAATAATCTTCCCAAGAGTCAATGCAGTCATGTCGGCGTAAAAGAACTGCGGTGTTCCAACACCAAAATAGCCACTGCCTCCAAAACAATGACCCTAAGAACAACAGGGATAATAGACATTAACTTGTAGTGGAGGAATACAAGTATAGGTTTGGAGAAGTCATAATTCCACTGACTAAATTAAAATTTGGAAACTGTTACAAAACTTCTATAGATCTGAAAATATCCACAGAGAAGAGAAACCAGAATGACTCTCATTATGTAGTGCAGAATAAGAGCAAGAAATATCAAACCACGTATTACTTTATGGCAAATGTATCGAATTATTATAGAAAGCTTGAGCTTTGGGCAAATCTAAAACTCACATCGTTATTAAAGTCTGCCGGTATTAGACAGTCGTATCCAAATTCTACTCGCATTCCAAACTGCACACCAGTGATGGGTATAGGCGCTCCGACTTTGTACGTCAACCTGTTTTTTTTACAACGGAAATTAGCTGAAGATACAACAGTTCAGATTTAAGAAGAAAATCCTAAATACTGAGCGAACTATGGACTTAAAACGAGCTACGAACGTTTGTCGTGAACAACGGAATTGAAACAGGGAAAGAAAGAGACTTCACTGATAGAATAAATAATAATGTTTCTATGTACTTGGGATTGTTGTCACTGATTTCAAAATGTTCCCTGAAATTTTAATGCTCTCGCTTCTTAAAAACGCAGGAAATTTTGTAAACAATGATGGGGCAAAAAGAGATTCATAAACCATTGCCTGTTGTTGCTGTTTTCTTGTTATGTTTGGCGAAACACTAATTATTTGGCTTGGCGAAGCACTAATCATTTAGTCCCAAGGGGAGATTAGTTTTAATCCCATAAATGTTGAGGTTTACCAAACGAATCACAGCATAGCATGCTAATCTAGACAAACGGTTTTTACAAACGGTGACTGTTTCACTTCGTTTTCACCAATTTGGGGGTGTTGTACAAATAAAAAACGAATTTAATTCTTTGGAATCCATACATTGTAGGACCTCTAGAGTCATATGTAACCTCCCGCGCGACATGCCCTCTGAGGATGTAAGAAAAACAGCTAACTGGGACTCTTTATTCGACACTTATAAGGTCAAAATAGCCACCTTAACTTATAATATCTACAACCGCATAACTCCATCATGCTTGGAACATTTAATCCAAAGGAAAGAGTCTACGTATGACCTCCGTCATAAACATCGTGTTGGCGTACAACGTTTTGAAACTTATTATATGAAAAACTCTATTTCTCAAAGAGGATCCATTGTTTGGAATATTTTAGAACCATACGCTGCCAGCGCTAGGGACTACGCCAAAAGGGCAAAAAAGTCTCACGCCCTCAGAAACTTGAACTTTAATNCCTCCGTCATCAACATCGTGTTAGCGTACAACGTTTTGAAACTTATTATATGAAAAACTCTATTTCTTACAGAGGATCCATTGTTTGGAATATTTTAGAACCATCCGCTGCCAGCGCTAGGGACTACGCCAAAAAGGTAAAAAAGTCTCACGCCCTCAGAAACTTGAACTTTAATGAAGAGTCACCGCAAATGGGCCGTCCCCAAATTGACAGGGATTTCGTCTTTTATTAAATCTATTCATTTCTTTTATTTTACATATCTTACTTTTTATTGACTACATTCAGTTTTAATAATTTTTTAATAATTTTTAATAATTTTTAATTTATTATTTTATTAACATTTTTTACACGGCCCCACAAGCTATATTAGCTTTAAAACCCACCGTTTTTAAATAAAAGATATTGTTGTTGTTGTTGTTGTAATAATGGTCGATGTATTTTCCCACCAGGGAGGATGCTGCACATTCCCAATATCCACGTTTCTTCGCGTACAAGCACGCGTACTCTGCGTACGATCAACCACCGGATTTCCCCCCGCAATATTATGGAATGAGGTCAGCGCCTATGCACATGATGGCACCTCAATTTGCTCCTGTTAATTCACTGCAGTCGGATCCTCCCACAAGTTCCACTAGTGAAGATTTATCAAGCGCTGCGCGGAAGAAGAAAACCAGTCCATGGACTGAAACTGAAGAAAAAATCCTCATCGAGTTGATCGGTGAGAACGAAGAGAAGCTTCGTAATAAAGCATATAATTCGCCAGAATGGAAATCTATTGCAAAGCAACTGCACGAGAAATGCAGGCGAGAACATGTTTCAAGCGACAAGACTGCACAGCAATGCAAAAATAAAATGAGCACAAAAAAATACAAAACAACCAAAGACAAACTCAGGACCACTGGATATGGAAAACGGAGAGATGTTGAGGGTGACAACGAAGCAGAAGGCAACCTTGAGCTTGTGCGTAAGCATTATCAGGACATGGACGAAATTCTCGGCAATCGAGAAGCCATCAATCCTCGACACGTGTTGGAGAGTAGTTCGCCGATCGAAGACCAGAGTTCCCCACAAATTGATCAGGACATCCGCGATAAAGAAATTTTGGATGAGGAAGTTTGCACTGCTGTGTCCGCTCAAAAGAGGAAACTTGTCCAATCCGATGATCTACATGGCCCGTCTGGTGAAGTAGGCACTTCTGACTCAGAGGAAGACGAGTCATTGGCCTTTGCNAACTTGAACTTTAATGAAGAGTCACCGCAAATGGGCCGTCCCCAAATTGACAGGGATTTCGTCTTTTATTAAATCTATTCATATCCTTTATTGTATATATCTTACTTTTTATTGACTACATTCAGTTTTAATAATTTTTTGATAATTTTTAATTCTTTATTATTTTATTAACATTTTTACAGGGCCCCTTGACCTATATCAGCTTTAAAACCCACCGTGTTTAAATAAAGGATGTTGTTGTTGTTGTTGTTGTTATTGATATCTATCTGCGAAAAATTTACATGAAAGTTTCATATCAGGCGTACGATTTTTTGAGCTATTTTCTTGGAAGCTGAACTAAAATGGTTTTCTTTTGTACGATGATTAAAATCAGCAAATTGATGGTTTGCAACCAATTCTGAGATATTCAAAAGGTCTGGAAGCCATGTTTAAACGAAGCTAGTTAAAAATAGTTTGTCAATGTTATTCAGAGATGACGTCACTCGAAAACCAATAATTGGCCACCTTAACGTAGCGGTCCTCGTTGCAAACTTCGACCCGGTCAAGGGACCAATCAAAATGCCTTGTTTCATCATAGACACTGACTGACAGGGTTGCCTTTGTGATGAAATGATCATGATTGAGTAAAGTAAACACATCAGTGCGGCAGTGGCTAGACTGATAATTAGTGTACTTATTGAAGAATGTTGCCTCCATTTAGGGTGCACGAGGAAGCAATGGTGTCAATGGAAATACTGGAGGAAATGGACGAGGAGTAAGTGCTAAAACTAAAAATAACCTCAACAAAAAGAGGCACATACAGGTCTTCGTATAGCTCTTTCATTGATATTGGCCGAACTGTCTGTTTCGAAAGTTAGAAAGACCTCATTAAATTAAGTCAGTCTGGAAACTCTTCCAGCCGCAAAAGCGCTTCTCAAAATTAAAGAAAAAGAAAACACAATTTTTGTAAATGGTGTAAAAGAACTGCGCAAGAGCTGTCATTTCAACGGTTCATTTGCCAAGGAATATTTTGTCGCGTTGACAAGTACATTTTCCCCTACCAAGATAGTTATTGAGTTAATGACATAAAGCAACTGTATAAAGGCTGTTTTTCACCAGGGCATAAGTATTAACATAACCATAAGCATCTTCCAGTACGATGTTGATTCTCAGCTCCTTTTACATCGGTAGGACTATTTCCAAAAAAAGGCGAAATTTAAAGGACGTTAATTCGTCTGTGTATGTTGGTTATTTGAACGCGCAATTGAAAAGCAATCTAAAAGACGTAAAACACCAAGTGATTTTATGTTACTTTAAAGGAGCGATGGTTACAATTAAGAAAGATTAAGACCGATTACGAGCAAAAAGCTTAAGAAAAAAATTGCCAAATTGTGAAGACGTAGAAGTTATTTAAGACGGATTCCGCTCAAAGTTCGAGCAATAAGTGCAAAAATTATTTACTAAAGATCTACTCATAGCACGGTAACTTTTGGAATACTATTTAAAACAACGCACTTATGTTGATTAAGTTCTCTAAGTGACCCCGCCTCGTAAGAATGCTTAAAGCGTGTGTTATGTTTTTAACTTACGCGAAACGTCTGTTTTAATTGAAATATGGATAACTTTAAGTTCAAGTTTCTCTCGCGGGGTCTCGATAAGTTCTTCTTACCTTTATTCAAAATACTTCCATGCCATGAGGTTTTTTTGGTAACTTAATTTTTGTCATTATTGCTCGAACGTTCTGCGGAAATCATCTTAATTTTCAATTTTTTTCAGGGCTATCCTGGTGCTCGCGGACCGGCTGGAACAAAAGGCAACAATGGATCACCGGTAAGTGAAATAACTGAGACTGATTTTTAGTTGAGGAAAAAAGGAAGAAAATAATGCCTTGGAAGCAATGAAAAGCATGATATTCTAGAACTCAAGGCTCTTCCTACAATAATCTGGCATTGGAGTCCGCAGTCTATGGTCACCTTGGTTTATGAGTATGACATTAATTCCTTGACATTTATGCTAAACAAGAGAACTAGGGACTTAAGGGAAGTTTTGTTTTGTTATTTTGCGTTTAGTTTAGTTTTGCGTTTAGTTTTGTTTTGAAAATCCATGAAAACCTGATGACAGCTTTCCGAAACGTACTGTTAAAGCTGTACCGCATTATAATTCACATAAATTGCACGCGATGTTGTTTCCTCTTTTATTTCCTGTGGAGGTTTTTCTACCACAGCTACGCTGTTCATATAATCAGCTTTAGGTTGTGGTTCTTTAGTGGTGAAATGTATTTGATTCAACTGTAATCTATACTCACTGTGCCACACCACTGAGGGTACCCTTCTTTAATAACTCCCTTTTCCACCATGAAGAGTGTACTTTTTGAAAAATAATAAGTAACTCGCTTGTGATTGTGTGTTTTTTTCCTGTTTCTGTAGGGTACACCAGGAAGCAACGGCGGACCAGGAGACCCTGGTGTCGATGGCGAAGAGGTAAGAAGATAATTTAGATCTGTGTCACGTAGGACGAACCATTATTTCTTTTACGGTGGCTGGCTGGGTGGTGGGGAGGTGGGGGGAAAAGGGAGGTGTTGGGCAATTTTCTGGGGCATGAATTTTTTTTCTCACCTTGAGGTTGTGCATGATTTTTTGTGGTGGGAAATATCTTGTGCAAATTTTTTTTTTAAGTCAGACGCAGGACCTGGATATTACAAAGCACTTGCTCGATTTTCTCCCTATGGCTAGATTGTCTGTTCAGCCGTTTTTGCTGTGCTCGAATTTTTTTCGGAAATTGCCCACCCCACCCTCGATTTTGCGTCCGGGGCAGAGGGGTGCAAATTGGGGGACGGGTGGAGGGGAAGGGAGAGGGGGCTTATTAGGGATGGGGCGTTTATTCGTATTGTTGTAAGAAATCAAGACAGTGGGGTTATTGTGTCGTTGAAAGCAAAAAAGTCTCAACCTCAATCAAATTTTCCCGTGTTTTTGTGACACTCCTTATTTCGCTGTCTTGGTTGCAGATCACACCAAACTATTCTCGATATATTTTCAACCTTTCTCTCACAACCTTCTTTTATAAGTCCAGATACAACTCAATGTTCAAAAGGTTGGCAAAAGGAAAGAAGAGTTTGACGGAATATGGCAGCTGTTTATCAGATACTTAACATAAGGAAAGCACCTTTCTGGTACCTAGAGCAAGTTTAGCTCAGTTGTTAGACCACCAGTAACTGAGGAGAATGTGCTACCTCTTTAAGTGGCAGTCCCGCTAAAAGCGGTCCACTCGACTTCGGGACCAAAAATAATTTTCCTTCATTTTTTGGCAGTGAAAAGGGTCTGACACACATATATAAGAAAGCAATTTATTATTTTCCAATTCGTTATTTTTGCTTTGCTACGCTCCAAAATTGAATTTTGGCCGAACTGAGGTTGCCGACCGTGATCAGAAAGGTAAAATTCAGCGATTTTGTGTAATTTTTAATTTTTTATTATTTTATTAACATTTTTTGCACGGCCCCATAAGCTATATTAGCTTTAAAACCCACCGTGTTTAAATATAAGATGTTGTTGTTGTTGTTGTTGTTCATGGTGCTTTTAAGTGCTCTAGAAATGATTAACTGCGTTTATTCTTACCCAAGGAAAATGTTTCCTATACCAAGGAATGGTATGAAGTACGCCCTTCGCCAAATTCCGCGCATACCCAGTTTGCCACCCACTACCTGTTCCGTGAAATCGTATTCCAACACACCAAACAAGAACAGTTCACTATTAGGAGCCTTGATACCGTCACGATAGATGTCACCGTTCACCGGGACCTTGATGTCTGCACGGAATCCTATCTTGATATGAGTATTTGTATCGTTCCAGTCAGCCTGAACAGAGAGTGTAAAGAGTCATTTAGAACAAAAATAAAAAGAGCCATATATGTCCATAATTCTAAGAGCTGTCAACGCCAATAAATTTTTCCGACGTTCACACTGTTCACTGGCCATTGTGAAATGATTTGTCTTCCATAAAAATGGTCTCTGTCTTTTAAAGTTCGAGTTGCCAATGGAAAGATCTAAAATCCTTTTATGATGATGATGATGATTATTATTTAGTTGTTGTTGTTGTTGTTAGCTGCGTAGCTTAATTAATCGATTAATCAAAACTATAACAAAATTCTCGAACGTGATTGGCTATCAGCAGCCCGATTTGAGCATTAATTGGACAGTGTATACGCGTCATGCTTGTAATTAGACAGTACGCGTCCTTTTGCGCGCGCTGTTGCGGTGCACGTTTTTGAGTAAACTGCTGTGTTTTTCATCATTCATATCGACGTTTAATCGTTCAGCGCTCAATCGATGGTTTGTTCGTTTCTCGAATTTTGTCATAGTTTTGATTAATTGGTACCAGGACATCGTGTCGTCCAATTCAGTCTGTAATCATACTCGTGTTTAACAAATCGGACTCCCGCTTTGCGGTCGTCCGATTTTGTTAATCACTCGTATGATTACAGATCGAATTGGACTCCACTCAGTCCTATTACCATTATTAATCATAATTCATGAATAGACTGAGTGAGTTTCAATCGTTCGATTAAAACTGCGATCATTGTTGGCAGGTCCACATCGGCTATTCTAGTTGCCATAAGTTTTAACCTGTGGTATCAAACTATTTGTATGAATATGTATGTATCAGGGTGTGAAATTATCAAGCAAAAGAAACAAGGAAAGTTCATTACACAACCAAGAGAAGACGGGAGAGTTAATCACCCATGTAAGTTCTGTTCTTAAGGTAAACCCTCTCAAGCTATAGTTAGATCAATCTCGGTTATGGAAATCCTAGAATGCCTAGAAATAACCAATCCTGTGACGGCGAACTTGCTCACGTGGTCAGGTGAGCCTTGTCGGTTCTACACACATTTTGATTCTCCCTGGAAACATTCACGCAACGTGCGTGATAACATGATCCGTGGAAGGACTGGGTTCCATGTCTAAAAATAACCTGAGAAAGATTATCAGGGGAATAAGGCCTTTACGGAGCATGGACCCACCTACCCTTGATCCTCTCCTGACACAATTTAGGAATCAACCCAATCATCTTTCTGACTGTGGAACTAACCGCAACAAGACATTTGACGCTGCAGCAACTTACCTCGACGTATAGCTCAAGTTTGTGAAAGTAGAGGCCGTCATAGATACGAACATTTGCGAAACCTGTAGCGACACGAATCTTTTTCCATTCAAACTGACCAGTAATGTACCACTTGATTGTTGGCCCTACGATCATCTTCATTATTTCACAGAATATGTTGCCTTGGCAGTCCTTCGGTAGAACTATCTGGGCTGCGGCAAAGATACCTACAAATATAGGAAATCGAAAATTACTTTCCTCTTGAGACTTATTTTAGAGATCGAAGGAAAGATATACACAAGCTCGTTGAGAGTTTACCTAGAAAAATCTTATGATAGAGAGGTTCGGAACGAAATAACAATATCAAAATATGTTCATCATTGATCACGAGAGTTTAAAACAGAATAATTTGACTGTGACGAATACCAGGGTATTTTCGTTCAACAAAGATTGGTCACTCGGGGAGTCGAGACTGTAATTACCGCACTGTACTGCACTGCACTGCACTTCACTGCACCACACTGCACTGCACTGCAC